ATGCGCCCAAAACTAATCTAATGCAGACTCAATCCGGATTTGATTGAATCCGAATGGTTTGTATAAAATATAATCGAAAGACTAGTTATAAATTATGAATATAAAAGTTTATTTAAGCTATGATTCATTTAAAACTTTTCGACTAAGCCGATAAAAATTCATCAATTTGGCCGGTCGAATAATTTTGATTGGCTAGAATCACCATAACCAATCATAAATTCAATAAATTTTTGTCCAATTAATATTCTATCATCTTCATAATCAGCAGTTTTCAACCCGGCTTGTGCAAATTCTGGAGTAAAAATTCCTTTATTTAATCGAGCATTAATTAATAATTTTTCTGTTTCACTAACAAATTCAGGATGACCTTGAACTGTTAAGACTTGATTTTCTTTTATCATTCCTTGAAATGGAGATTTTGAAGTAAACCCTAAATTATGAAATTTGTTAGGCAAAATATTCACATGATCCTAAATAATTAAATAATAAAGAAATAAATTAATTTTTAACATAAAATAGATGGAATAAATCATATGAAATCATATGTAATCATATGTTTATACTTGATGCATTTGTTGAATACGCTAAAAATATACTTCCAAGTTAAATTTTATTTGAAAAAAATTTTTAACAGATCCTAATAATAATAAATATTGATATTTACCAAAACTTTACTGTCTATCTTAAAAAAATTTTCTCCAATGTCAGTAAGTGATACTTCTGTTACACCAATCTTGCGAAAAATATAAAAATTATTAATCTTGGGATATTAGATCATTATATCACATAATAAATCAATTCACCTCCCAACCCAATGGGTTTTTAATAACCTGGCCACCTGCGGCTCTGGCTATAATTTGGTGACCAAAACAAATACCAATTAATTTAATATGTTGATGTTTGTCGATAATAAGTTTCGTAAAATCAGTGAGCCGATTAATCCATGGAATATCATCATAAGCTGATGAAGCTAATTATTAAATTATTAATAAAATAAATAATAATAATCATAATAAAATATCTTTAAAATGCAATCTTAATTAATATACCAGAACCGGTAATTATAATGCCATCCGTTTTCAGCAAGTCGTCTTCTTCAGGAAATTCCATATTTTTTACATCATAATTTTTAATTATTAACGATAGTTTCTGCTCGCTACTATTAATAGAATTTTGCAAAAGATCTGAAATTTGTTTGCCATAATGCCCAAATTTTTCGGTTACCTCTGGCAACGGTGTATCTGCGAGAAGAATAGATACTCTGAGAAATTTTTGTGATTCATCCATGCTTGAAATGTAAGTACGTACGTATGTGCAAGTTTTAATGATGCGTACAATTTATAACTTATATAGATAATATTAGCATCCAATTATTTTCATTGCAAATTTAAATTTTTTTTTTTAATCCGGTTAAGGTTTCGATTGTCGATACTAATACAATCAGCTGGCTAATTAAAAATCCGAAGTTACGCGAAATGGCATAATCACGTTTAATTCATTGTAATTTTTTGATGTATACGTCACTAAAAGCACCCTAAATTTAAAAATTCATAATAGAATTTACATCTAACCGATTACCCCACCCTTTAACTGATTACTTTTTTCATCAACAACAAATCAATTACTGTTACGTTTAGATATACGATATGTCAGTCAAATAAAAATCTAACCACTATCGACCCTTTACCCTTTAAATTTTGAGATACAAACAAAATTAGTCCAGACACAATACTTAGTGGTGTTCAAATTCGGTACGTACGTATTACATAACGATTAGTGTAAATTTGGCCATTTAAAACGGTTAATCAATATGGTTATCGATATCGTATTAATTACTAGATTTAACCACTTGTGATCCTGATGGGCTAAAACGTTCAGGTGTTATGGGAGGACAATACCATTGAGAAAGACCACTTAGATCATGCGATGTTCCTTCAATTATAGGTGCATGTGCATAAATGCTAGTTTCCCTGATACTATATAGATTAGAAGATAGTTGTCCTTTGTCACGAGAAACTTTGTCACCCGACAAAATTATTGCTCGGCAAAATCAAACAAAAATTTGACAGATTAAGTCGGACATCAAATGATCACAGGTCAACCAATACTTATATATTCAATTTTGTTTGATTATGCCGAGCACTAGACAAAATTGGCCGATCAGATGCGATTTCCGAGATTACTACATTTCCATGTCAGAGTAATCGATTACTCTATTATTACTACATTTCTCCCCACTATTACTTCATTTCCCTTAACATTACCAATCCTTACGCAATACCTTCTCAATTTCTTTCCATTACCACATTTCTTGTAAATAGGGTTATTCTAGAGAGAACATACCGGGTGTTTCAAAAGTTCCAGAGCACGGTCCCTTTTTTTTTAAGTGACTTTATACATAGAGATCATTTATGAAAATATAAATAATCATCGTGACCTCAATGTATAAGGTCACTTAAAAAAAGGGACCGTCCGTGTTTTGGAACTTTTGAAACACCCGATAACACAACGAACTTATTATCCTCTTAGCTTTCATAATAAATATGATAATAAATCGCTCTCCCAATATATTAAAAATTACATTCATTTTATTTTATAAACATCCAATCCGTCGGTCCAGTAGCTAGATTGACATCGAAGTTCATAAATCTCTCCTGAACCATGACATCTTTGATCTCTTCCTAAATAGAATTCTTATAAACCCCAATAATAAGTTGCTCTTCTAAATGACATTTGTCATGAATGCTTAATCATCGTAGAAACCTTGAATTTCATCTAGATTTTAAGCCTTGCCCATTAAAGTGTGACCATGAAACCCAACATATCCCCAATTCACCATTGAAGTTTACACACCATATTCTCCCAAAACGTTAATGATACCGGGTAGCATGATTACGCGTCATTAATTAAGTTATTGTAGTAGTCATTTTCTTTATACGTATACAATCTTGAACTTAATAAATAGTCTTTTTATTTTATTTAATATATTTTTTCGGTCATTCTGATAATATTCAAAATGAACTAAAGATTTTATAATTCAGGTATGTTAAATCATTGGTCAACTAAAAATTTGCTGTCAAAATTGGTCAAATAATTTTGTCTATTAATTAATAGGTTTGTTATACAAAAACTTATACAACTCACTCTCGTTATAGTGAAGATTCGATATACAGTAGTGGAGTTTTTAATTCCGGAATTATTTAACTCGATAAAGTGAAGTACATATAGTATTCCATAGTGAAGATTTTTTTCTCAGCCGCAGGACTTCACTATAACGAGAATCCGTATAAGCACGTAATGTGCGTTATTCCAGAATGCGCATGTTCGGTAATTCAAATTATAATAATTGTGGGGAAAAGTTACAACTTTCTGCGGCTTCACTCTGGTACGTACTTATGTGGGACGCGTCGCACATGCGTGTTATTCTGAGTCCAATGTTTTTTTAAGTGAAAATCATGTGCGTTATAATAATATTTATATTATTTGGAACTAATTTGGCCAATATTAACTAGTCAAATAACCAATCCATACCAACTTTGGTAGGAATGTAGTCTACTCATATAAAATCGCGTATCGGTATTATTCGGATTTTAAAGACATTCATTCGAATTTTCTGGAAATTAATTTATTATAAAATGCATGTGAGAAGTTGACATTTCAATTTAAATTCTTTTTCTGGTTTATAAATCGAACTAATTTATACTTAAAAAATATAATGGTAATATAATATATTATTTACAGTGAATCCTGTATAAAGAGTGTCGTTATGTAACGAACTGAACAGAAATCTACAAAATCCACTTATGCCCCACATTAATATTTTAAAATTTCTAATGGTTATGCCCGTATATTACCTATATATACATACTTGAACGTACAATGTTTGCTAAACATAAAAATAGAAGGGTATAAAGGATTAACACTTATTATACCTATTTGTGTCTTTTTTGATTCGTAATATAAAAAAAAAAACTTTTGGTGGGCCATCTACAAAATTTTGAATCGGAATTCATTGGAGGTGGGCAATACTAGCCAACTATGTCATCAACTGGGCATTATAAATGACTATGACCTTCAGTAAATTCTTATTGATCTTCAGATAAGAGATAATCTTGTTCTGCTCTAACCAATAAAAATTGAGAATTTTGGATTTTGATTTGATGTGCGAGACTTTTGACGATCGAGCACCAAGGAATTTAATTATGAACTTTTATATACAAGCTGCAAACATTTTAGATAAGCTATTCGCGCACAAGGGTACAATTAAAAGTCTTACATTAGCCGATAATGTTAAGGAGAAGAAAAAGATGTATGCGTTGATATGTGAGACTTTGAAATGTAAGCTTAGTCGTAGAATTTTTTCGTAATGTAAGGTTTTTTTTCCTTCGTAAGCTTTATTCTAAATATATCAAATGATTCAATTATAATGATTATTACTTTTTAAAATAAGATAAGAATGTAATCAATACAATTTTGGATAATTCTCAGATATTTGACGTTGAGAAAAAGGTTGTTTAGTTGACTGGTTCATATTGTAATTTTCAATAATGCAGTAATATCAATAAAGATATTTTTTTGATTATATATATCAGCTTCCAAGAAATGTTGCCATACTTTTAGTTCATGATCTCTTATTTTCCCAGAATGGAATTAAATCATTATCGAATGGGCCTTATAAACAATCAATTTTACGACATGAAATAAGATTAAGAGCTGAACTCGCCCGACTTAAAATTAAGATGAAAGTTAAAAATAATGAAGATTTAATAAATTCAGAAATTCGAGAAACAAGTATGTGCTAAAAATAAATGGATTGGTAAAAATATAATCCAAATTTTCAAATTTTATTGGTTTCTTATTAATTATTATTTTTGTTGCAGTTGTAATCCCACGATATATTCGTGTCAATACACTTAAAGCATCTGTTAAAAAGGTTATAGAGCATTTTCAAGCAAAAGGATTTACTCAAGAAGAACCTATTGATGATTTGAAGAACATACGGTAATAATGATTATACCTAAAAATGCATGCAAAATTTGAATTTATGACTCTTGGTCATTTCTCTCATGATCTTAAAAAAATTTTTTCCCTTGGATAAAGTCCTAAGACAATTCGAAAAGATAAGCATTTGCCCGATCTTTTAATATTACCACCAAACACGGACCTTCATGAAGATGCTCTATACTTATCTGGTGACATCATTCTTCAGGTATTTCTTTGTTTATTTTTTTAAATTACATATCGTAAATTGATAATCATCGTCATCATCATTTTTGGTACGCGTGTATAGGATAAAGCTTCATGTATTCCTGCATTTATTTGCTCACCACCTTTCAATTCGCATGTGATTGATGCATGCGCAGCACCTGGAAATAAAACTTCACATCTTTCGGCCATAATGCAAAATACAGGAAAAATATGGGCTTTTGACTTTGATAAACACAGACTAAATTTACTCAAGAAATTGATACAAAAGGCTGGATGTAAAAGTATAAAAATTATATCAATTATTATTATTGCTTTTTTTTCGCATTAAACTGTTTAATCACAAGTTACAATTGATTTACAGATGTTGAAGCTATTCATGAATCTTTTTTAGATGTTGATCCCATGGAACAAAAATATTCCAATGTTGGTTATATTTTACTTGATCCATCGTGCTCAGGGTCAGGAATAATAAATAGATTAGATCATTTAATTGATGCTTCTGATGGTTGGTATATGTAAATTTTTCATATGAAATTATTCGTGTTTTTTTTTGCGCGCAAAAATAAATTCTCTATTGTATTAATTACTATTTATTTAAGAAACTCAAGAACAGTTAGACCTTTCTCATAGATTTAAAGAACAGCGTCTTGAGAATTTAAGCGAATTTCAAGAAAAGATGATTTTGCATGCGTTTAAATGTAATATTAATATCCCTCTTAATTTTCACTCTTTTCTGATTAAAATTAATTCTTATCTCAACACAAAAATATATATATATATTAGTTCGTTCTGTTCAGAAAATCATATACTCTACATGTTCAATTTATGCGGAAGAGAATGAACACGTCATCAAACGTGCCCTGGATCAGACTGATCATTTTGTTCTGGCAAACAAGAACGATATGATGCCATCATGGCCAAGACGTGGTATTTCAAGTGAAATAAATGATGATGAAGGTTAGTTAACAAAAATTTTTCTCAGATTTCGATCTAATTTGATGAAAACTTCATAATTATTGCAAATGATCCAGGAATTGCGGAAAAGTTCATTCGCACAAGCCCAAATGAGGATTATACAAACGGTTTTTTCGTTGCATGTTTTGTTCGTAAAACTGCGCAACCAATCAATACTGAGACTGACGGTGGACTAAAATCTAAGAAACGAAAACATAACAAAGATGTCACAATAATCAAAATTAAAGATGATGATGAATGGAAGGTCAATATTTCGAATAATGGTTCATTGCTATCAAAAGGATCCGCAATAGATAATGGAAAGAAAAAGAAAAAGAACAGTATTTCTCAATCTAATTAATCAAGATGCAATATTTAATTTATCTATTCGCAAAATTAAAAATTCGGCTGAAAAATCAAAAAGTTGACGGATATTATAATCTATTTCTAATAGAATTATCATAACTTCAGTGTTTAGAAACTCTAACTATCATAGTATTATTGCTAACTTCCAATAATGGATTTTTTGACCAACATTTGTCAATTCATTATTAAATTTACTATACATGGCTTATTTGAGATTAACATAACAGAATTTTTCATGTATAAAACTCTTATGATCAAACCTCATCAAAATGCTATCAATAGCTGATTCAAAACATCCGAGACCAATTTTCTAGTATAATTATCTTTAGTTTCAACCTTAATATTGTTACCATCTAAAGAGATTATAACCTTTGGAGAATCAACGTAAATCGTGCACTTCCCAGTTTTTATATCTTCATCCAACGTAATAAGACAACCATACTATAATAAAAAATTTATTATTAGAATGCATATCTTAAATTATTCAAATCAGAATAAATAAATAAGATAGGTGATCTGATCTTTTACTTACTAACTGCTCAGTTAGTTTATCTATCAAGCTCGATACATTAATATTTCCGATAACATATGTTTGTTTTAATATTTGACTACTTGCAGAAGGAACCAAAGAAGATTGATTATTATATGTTTTGAGATTTGCATACAATGCAGCAACCTTTGTTTCACCAATGTTTGTTGTATATATTTCTGATGCAAGCTATATGAAATTAAAAAAAAAAAGTAAACTTCACGAATATTATTAAAAAAAAAAAAAATGTATAGAAATAAATAAAGCAAAAAGTTTACATCTTCTGCCATATAAGTTCTCTTATACTGTGAATTTATGGAGATATTAACAATATCTAAATATTCGTACAAAGTAACCAATGAAGAAGGTATTTGTCTTCGTATGTCGTCTGCATTTTTTACTGCTCTGTGAGGGAACAGTATTTCTCGAGGTTGAAATTCTTTAATCATTTCAATCACTTGTTCAACTGTAAGACGAATATCAATTGGAAGGTGCATTGTTTTAATTTGTAATCCATCAAATGCCGAAATAGCTTCTTTAAAGTTGAATTCTGATTCTAAATTATTTGTTTCATAGTAATAATAATAATAAGTATATATGAAATAATAAATAATGAGAAATTTTGCTAACTTTTGCATACCTATGAAAATGATAGCATTGTTGGGATTATTTCCCCATTTTTTAATAAAGTTAATTACTGCACCACTTCGCAGGGAAGAATGACCCGCAAAGACAACGCATGGTTCTTGATATATTTCTTGGAGAGAACTATCAGCACGAGCAGCGTAGTAGAGTAGATTCCTATCAAACATATCTTTATGAACCATCGGATTCTCTGGAATGTACATACGTAGCTGTCTTTCTTCACACATCCTTGAAATGCCAAAATTCGACACGTCAATAAGTTGTTTGATTTCTTGTATTTATAATATCAAAGATTAAATTCATACCATTCACCTGAAATAAATGAATACTTAAGCGATTCTTCAGCTATGGGAGAAATTGCATAAAATGGAACACCACCAAGTCCTCTGGAATTTAGATGCCTCCCAAGATAATCCAACACGTCAAACATTATACCATTAAGAGCACATGGAAATAAAACATTTCCCTTATTCGCCAAAACATCTCCTAAAATATAATTTTGATTATAAAAAATACTGAGAATATAGACCAAATTACAGAGCTGTAGCAAACCTGCATAATTTCCGATATCACGTAACACAGGTAAAATAGATTCTAATCTGATGTCATCTTCATTACGCGAATCGCACAAATCACTCAATATAACAACATCAGCATCATCCAATACAGATTTGCTAAATGGTAATGGGTGAATATCAGTTATTATGGAAGAAGAGGATATCATCGCAATCTATTAATTATAAATATTTGATATCATTTTTTGAGTATAAAAACGTATGATTATAAGAAAAATACCAAATACTAATATAGTTACCTTTTCGGTATCACAGACTATCGACCAATTAGCGCTACCTAAACAATATCCGGCGCTATGAGCAGTAACTTTAACTCCATATAAATCCTATTAATGGAGTCTGTTAACAAAAAAATAAAAGCACCAATATAATAATCAGCTAGAATGAATTATACACACAAGATTTTCACCATATCGGACAGGCTGTATTTTATCAACACATGACTGCACATCGGGTATTGTATATAAAGATTGAGCCAAGTTACTTTCAGCAGTGAAACCATAAAATATATTCGGTTTTCTAGAAAGCAATAATATGGTTAAAATGACAAACACAAATTTTATAAATGTGATGAATAATAGCAATAATCATAACTCCGTACTCGGCTTTAGCATGTACACGTTGTCGAGAAGAACCCGGAACCGAACTTTCGCCAAAAAAATGCACTAACTCTTTCATCATTTGGCTAAAAAAAAAAAAATCAATTAAAAGCATTAAAAATTTGAAATGAAATATTTTCCTAAAACATACGAAAGGGAGAAATGAAAACACACATTCAACAGTTACCATCCAAATATAACCGTAGGCTCTGTTGCATAAACTTTTCCTTTAAATTCCGAATATTCGGTTATATAAGGTAGCGCAAGCATATTTTTATAATTGGTAATCAATATAAAATCTATGGATTTCCAATCGACGCTCGAAAATACTGGAGTCTCCACGTAGAATTGGCCTCGAGAGCGACGTGTGCTTCCATTTGCTGTATCTATGGACGGATCCAATTTTGTACGCTTCGACTCATTCTCAATTATCATAGGATCGGAAGAATTGCTTGGAGCCTCAGTCTCTGCTGCCATTTGATGGGCACGAGTGCCTAAGTTATCGCGAGGTGGAAACTTAATTAAGCCAGATACATTAAGGCCGCAATCAATTATGAAATTCATTTGCTTCAACTTAATCAAGAAGCAATTTGATCGAAGGTTTCGGCTTAAAGGGTGCTTTTACCGTTTTAATAAAAATAAATAGCAATTTAGAGTAATATAACTAGAATTTCTTTTAATATGACTTTTAGACTTACTAATTTCATTATTAAACGCTTGAAGGCAAAATATCTCAAATTCAAATATTTTTACTGTACAATTTTATTATAATCGAAGATCTCCTGATTGGCCAATAGGATTTATAGGTTAACAGTTAATATCCCGATTGGCTAATTTAATATCGATGTTCTTGACGCGCGCTATTTTCAATATTACTGTCGACACGTTATTTTTAATAAACGCGTTATGTTAATATCGACAAAATATTATTTTATCGATTACAGGATTATGTCAAAAAAAAAAAAAAAACTTTACGCATGCCTGACACTCGAATAGCATTTGCGTTGTTGGCGTTGAAGGCCTAATCAGAATTATAAGTTAGAGGTTTTTGTAATTAGCAATAATTAAAATTTAGTGTCATACTTTTTTTTTCTGATCAATAAATTTCTTTTATTAAACCTATTAGTAAAATATAGGGTTGTTAATGGATTGGGTTGGGGTGGGTTGGGTTGAACTATTCTTCAACCCATTCCAACTTGGGTTGGGCTCACTCCGGAGCTGCTCCAGATTTGCTTAAAGTTGCTCCAGTTCACTCCAGTTTCAATCCAGCATATCTTTAACTCACTCCTACTTGG